CTCTTCCAGTCAGTTGGCCAAGTGGTTGTTCTCCAGATTTCTTGGCACAACTTGGTGAGCACATCCAGGGCAGCATCTGTTAGCTGAAATATGTCAATCAGTATACCATCTATTCTGGGGGAAGAAGAAAACTTCCCAAATATTATGAAGAATGAGGAAGTCCACATTCAGGAAGCTCAAAGAACACCAAACAGACTAGCCACAAAAAGGAAAACATTAAGACATATAGACAAATTCTTCAAAATAAAAGATAAGAATACTGAAAGCAGCATGAGAAAAACAAAAGGCCACCTACAAAGGAAACGCCATCAGATTAATTTCTGATGTTTCAGCAGAAACCATGCAAGTAAGAAGACAATGAGATGGCATATACAGAAAGTTGAAAGAAAACAATTGCAAACCCAGGATCCTGTACCCAGCAAAGCTTTCCATCAAATATGAAGGAGAAATCACATCTTTTGCAGAAAAGAACTTAAGAAATTTGTGAAAACAAGACCACAGCTACAAGACCTTTTAAAGGAAGTCTTTCACATAGTGACACCAAAGGAAAGTGGATGGATCATAATATCAAGAAATAACAAAAAAAGAAATACAACAAAATGGCAGTGATAAAACCGGTCTTGTCAATGATCACCCTTAATGTGAATGAGCTTAATACACTAATCAAGAGAAAAAGAGTAGCAGAATGGATAAAAAAGCAAAACAAATATGTTGTCTACAAGAGACATACATAATAAACAAAGAGAGAGACACCAAACCAAAGACTGAGGAAGAAATATACCAAGCAAATGGCATCCATAAAAAAGCAGGAGTGGTAATACTAATGTCTGATAAAACAGACTTCAGAATAAAAATAACCATAAAAGATAAGGAATGGGGGAGCTCTGGTGGCCTAGAGGTACACAGTTCAAATCCACCAGATGCTCTGCCGGAGAAGGAGGGACAACTTAAGTGCACATCAACAAACGAATGGATAGAGAAGCTGTGGTATATTCACACAATGGAATACTATGCTGCATTGAAAAACAAGGAATTCGCATGCAATTTTTTTCAAAATGGGTGACCCTGGAGGACATTATGCTGAGTGAAATTTCTCTGTCAGAAAAAGACAAACACTGCATAGTGCCACTGTTGTAGAATGGGACTGACATCAAGGTTGGGGTAAGACTGAGAAAAACTGGATAAATTGTGTATACTACATTGAAACAGATGAGGGAGAGAACAGTTTAAAAGCGATATATGATAGGGTATTATGGTTATCTCAAGAGTCCAGAATTAAGGTTGCATAATGGAGTGTATGAAGGAATTTTTCTTTTAGTTTTCAAAGAGAAGAGCGAACTGGGGGGGAGGGGTAGGCAGGGAGAAAAGTGCAACAATGAATGAATGGAAATCCAAAATCTCTGTAAATGTTCATTAAAATTAATAAAATAAAATAAAAAGTAAACAAACAAAAGGAAGCTGAAATAGGATCCACATTTCACACCATACACAAAAATCAACTCAAGGTGGATCAGAAACCTGGGAGTAAAGCCCCAAACCAAAAAGCTCATAAGAAACAAACTGGCTTAGAAGTGCTAGTCTACAGTATAAAAGGACTGCCAAATACAGCCAGAAATACATAATCTTAAGAGGATAAAATTGATGAATAGGACCTTTTAAAGATTAAATCTCTTTGCTCATCAAAAACTTTTTCAAACAGGTGAAAAGGAAACCTACTGACTGGGAACAAACATTTGGTAACATCATCTCAGACAAGGGTCTCATAACAAAAATTTACAGAATCCTACAGGGCCTCCAGAAGAAAAAGACAGATAATCCAATTACAAAATGGGCAAAAGACATGGAAAGACTTTTCACAGAGGAAGACATTCAGATGGCCAACATAAAGAAATGCTCCAAATCACTGGCAATAAGAGAGATGCTAATCAAAACCACAATGCCACTCCAGTAGCAGCAGCAAAGTTTAGCAAGGTATCAAGTAATAAATGTTGGAGAGGATATGGTGAAACAGGAACTCTTATACATTGTTGGCGGGACTGTAAAATGGTACAGCCACTCAGGAAGACAGTTTGGTATTTCCTCAAAAAGCTGGACATAGAAATTCCATATGACCCAGCTATTCCACTGCTTGAAATATATCCTGAGAAAATGAAAGCTGAGGCACAGAGACTTGTACACCAATGTTCATAGCAGCATTATTCACCATAGCAATAACAGCTCAAGCACCCAACCACAATGGAATGAATTGAGAAATTATGGTACATTCACACAATGGAATAATATGCAGCACACAGGAGCAATGATTTTGTAAATTACATGGGAGAGACTGGAGAGAATTATGCTAAGTGAAGTAACTCAGTCTCATAAAGACAAATACTGTTTAGGACCATTATTATAGAGGGTGTATGAGGATCCAAGGAGGGGTGGGGGTGGGCTTAAACATAGGGTCACACAATTTGATGGGTGGAGGAAGGGATTGGTAAAGGGGAAAGGTCTGGTGTGAAAAACAATGCATATGAACTTTGTATGTAAACCAGAATAAAATAATTACCTAATTTGAGTGGGACTGAAATCATTATGCTGAGAAAACGGAGTCCCACAAATACTGTATAAAACCATTACTGTAGAATGAGTATGAGGATCCAAGGGGCCCAAGGGGGGAGTGGAAGCAGATGGGTGAGGATGTGCAGAAGGAGGGGATTAATCATGAGATCATACAATTTGATGGGGCGGTGGGGAGGGAATGGGAATGATCTAGTGTGAAAAACAATGCATTTGAATTTTGTAAATAAACTAGCATAAAAAAAATAAATCAAAAGAGAGGTAGCTTTACTAAACACATTGTTATTATAGTTGTGTATCACAGAGTTGGAACTGACCCATAGCTGACCCTCTGGCAGGTTTTCAGGAGCAGTGATTGCACAGGAGGAGACCACCCATTCTTCTCCCATTGAGCAGCTGGTGGCCTTCAACCGCGTGCCTTTGGGATTACAGTGAAACTTCTTGCCAATAGGCCAGCAGAGGTCCCACATATACATGTATATTTTAAAACAGTTTATCATAAAAGCTGGACTTCAATAAACTACTATTTTAAAATATGCTTCCAGTATACTGAAACATATATTTACAATTTAGTCAGCAAAAACTGCAACTGTCATTTTTCGAAACAAAAAGTTGAAGTTTCATTACCTATGTAGCGTGACGCTTCATCAGTCTCTCCACCATGCGCTATCTTCTGTCCTTCAAGTAATTTTATTATTCTCTTAAAATGACGAAGATTGATGATCCTTTCATAATCAGGAGACTCTTGTACATTTTCTCCATAAAATTCCTATTTAAAATAATACAATATTTACTTGTCATAACGTACTCATGTTTCAAATTCTTTAATATGTTACAAAAACCTACTCTTTACCCAAAAATCTTATGTGGTTATATACCTTCACTCCACATCACTCCCACAAAGAATTTATGAGTATTACAACAGCAGCAAATCTATGCTTTTGGGCAGCAGGTCAAGTATAAGAAATAAAAGCAAACACAGAGATCTATTTCCCATGTAACTTCAGGGGCTTCATACAGTTGCCATATACCTAATCCATGGGCAATCATGGGAATGGCTGTGAGAGCAAGCAGTATTCTCTTGATCAGAGTGTGACTCATTTGTTATGTACTAGTTATGACTGTTCTCCCACTGTAGTGTAGCTAAGTCATTACAGCAGAGATCTTATAGAGATCTTTAGGCATGGAGAGCCTAAAATATTGACTATCTAAACCCTTTACAGCTTTGGGGACCTAATCCATCTGCTGCTCCAGTGGAGAAAGATAATCAGTCTTCTCTTATGTGATTTTTCTGGCTCTGAAACCCCATTGAAAGATCAGCTATGAATAAGCTCCGACTCAAAGGGTTATTGTTTGAGGCCTCTGAGATACTTTGTTGGTTTAACCATACAATCAATACTTATTATGTAAAGATAAAACTATTAAATAGCTGTTCTTTCTTCTGTTTGTTGCTGTTTTGTGCTATCAAGTTGGAATAGATCCATAGATGAGCCCCCAGCAAGTTTTCAGAGGCATTTAATCACAAGATAGGAGACTGTCCATCCTTCTCTTATGGATTCAAACTGCTTGCCTTTTATATTAATTGCATAGACCATCAGAACTCCTTTCTAACTGCTATAAAGACATTTTATAGCCTTTCAAGAATTCTCAAAATGAAAACTATTCACTGCCAATAATGATTTTCAAATCTGAGTGTAAAAGAATTGCCTAAGGTAATTCACTGCCATTGAGTTGGTTTCAAGTCATGGAAGTCATGAAGGACAGTCCCCATAACTGCCACTGATGGGGTCTAAGGCTATACTTCTTTGTCTGATTGGCTAGTGAGTCCAAATGAGAGATTTTATAGTTAGCAGCCACATGCTATAGCATCCTCAGTAATAGTGGCTGCCATTCCAGAATTACCTGGGGACCCCAAACCAGTTGAACTAAAATCTTTGGAGGGTAAGGGCTGAAAATCTATTTTTAAATGGCTTCCAGTGATTCTAACATACAGCTAGTCTAAGAACCACGGTGCTAGAGTATAAAATACCTCAAAGGAAAAGCAACACCAACAAAATCCTTAAATTCTTTGCAATCAAGTGAGAACTGATTCACAGCTGATCCTCTAGTGAGTTTCTGAGGCTGTCAATCACATGGAGATTATGATCTTTCTCGTGAAAGATGACAGAGATGCAGCCTTTGGGTCAGCAGCACAACTCCCTATGGGCTATACCACCAGCTCCCTTAAAGGAAGGCAAAGAGGCGTCTGCTCTTTCAGGACTGAGTTTATCACTATCTTCAAATAACTATTTTCCAAGGGCCAAATACTGTCAATCTCCGAGGTGTCTTTCACCTTCTGATCCATTCCACATTTCCTGAGTCTGCCTACTTCTTCCTTCAGGATCTCTCGGTCTGGGCCCATTTTCAATCCTATCACTAATGTCTAATTTCCACAGTAAGAAGAGTTACCCTGCCTGGAGCCCATTCTGCTCCATCTCCCTAAACTTCCTTAAGTACAATTTTTATGCTCTGATCATATCCCTTACGCTAAGTATTCCGGGTATTATTTACATGTTCAGTGCTTGGTTAGCATCATCTAAGTGAACAATGACTGGAATCACTTTTTTTGCTCCGTAACTCCCACTTCTGAAATAGCAGGCCTCTGAAAACCCTATGTACAACAGAACACATTTAGATAACAGAAACGGCAAAGGAGGTTGAGTTTTCAAGTATGGAAATAAAAAGGAAGAGGAACAGTTGTAAGCAGACACTGGTGATTGGGACATGGAATGTGAGAACCATGAATGCAGGAAAATTAGATATT